ACACACACACACACACACACACACACACACACATACAGAGTCAAAAAAAGCCTGTGCCCTAGAAGATGCAGATAGGATTGTGAATTAAATGCACATGCTGATGATCCAGGGAAGGCTCCATTAATATTCAGCGGTGGTTGGGCAGTGCTCAGTTAATGGAAGACAACAGGACCTCTGTTCTGACAGGTCATGAGAAATGGTATATTTTCATTTTTAAAGGAGTGAATGTGTGTTGTTTTTTCCTCTCTCTCTCTCTCTCTCTCTCTCTCACACACACACACACACACACACACAGATATGGGGCCTGTAGCTACGGAGAAGTGACATTTAAAATCCATCAGAAAACCAATAAAGTGGTTTTGTAGACTTTTGAAGAATTTCGTATTACTCTTGTTGGCGTGCTGTTCAAATAGCTGTGATTGCTTTTCTTAGGCCTGCGTAACGTCAGCCTCGTCGCTGGCATTTTAGGAGGCTTACTCAAATACAGCAGAATGAAGCTGAAGACTGGGAAGCCTTGCCTGGGCTTCATCTTTTAGTGGGAATTTGTTTCACTACATATCAGACAAAATAAAAAAAATAAAAAAATAGCACGCTACAGTATGGCAGAATTGTAGCATGACCATTCTTCTTCATATACACCGCAGGTAATACGTGTGCTTCATCTGATTTATTTTTTTTTTTTAATCTTCAAGAACATACAGAGATTGCCACCATTCCCAGAGCACTACATCCAATAAACTACAGTTAAGGGCCAATAAAGTTAATACTGTGGCAAGCTCGGTGTCAGTCGGTTTCTAGAGAGAAAATGGCCTAGAAGTGAAGATAAAAGGGACGAAAGGGAAAGAACGGCTGCTTAATGGATTGAATGAGAACACAAGGTGGGGGACTTACAATCTGGAACAAAACGTGTTAAGTCTTAATGTTTAATGAAGTATGTTTGGGTGAGGAAGGTGAAGTGCTCAGAAGTGTTCACTTTAATATTCTCTCTCCTCTCGTAAAGTCAGAGCTTTCTTGCAGCAGCACAGCTGTTGGGTTGTTTGTATAGGTGTATTTGTTTGTTTGGATGATGCAGCCTTGTCGCATATCAGTGCTTGTTTCCATCATCATAGCCCAGAATTTTTAAAGCAATATGATTTTAATTATTATTTTTCATACCTCTATTACTTTCAGGATATTGTCTTTTTTTTTAGCTGAATTTCCTCATCAGTGCTTTCCTGTGTGACTGCTGCTAAGTGATGTCACTGCATGTCTTGAAATAACAGGTAGCGTGTAGAACATGGCAGCTGGTGAACAGGCTCATGCACGTTAGCATCCTGACCTTGCAAGCTGTTCTATGGTTTATGGATTCATAACTGTAAGATTGAGGTAATAAGCGATGGTAAAATGAAGTGTCTTTTGTTACTTCATGTTTGAGGTTGGCACACACACACACACACACACACACACACACAAGATTGCTTTCATCTGGCTGCACAAGACCAAAAGCCAACTGCTTTTATATTTCTTTCTTTTTTTTCAGTTTGAACCTGCATGTTACTCCATGTGTTATTGCACTGTGAGAGACAAGGCAGCAGTTTGTGATCACTGTCATTTGATTGTCTTTGATGAAAGAGAAAACACACACAAAAAAAGGAAAACTATCAGGGACTAAGCCTTGGATGAGACAATTTTCTTCAAATACCTTCTGGGTTTACTTTTGTATTGTTTGCTTGGAATGCTCAACGCTATATTTCTACACTTTAGAGCCACTTTAGATTATTTTTGGTGTCAAAATTGTATTTTAGATTAACAACAGAAAAAAAACATAAACTAGAGAACTAAAGACATTACACACTGGGGGAAAAAGCCTTAATAAGGGGATACTTTGAAATAAGATACTTTGAATTGTGCAAAAATATTATATTTCCTAATGTATTTATATGTTCTCATATAATCCAGTTCAAAGTGCTCCAAGCTGACCTTGAAGAAGAGGTGGAAGAGATTTACACTTCCAAAACAAACAGTATGTTTTCAGGTTATGGCAAAGTCAGCATCGTGTTTTAATCCAGAGAAGGTTTGATCACTAGTGTGAACGCTAGAGTTTGTTTCTGTTAGAAATACCCAACAGGAAATCGCCTTCATTAGAGTAACGCACACCCAGTGCACTTAAACTGATTTTATTTGTGCAGAGTTAACATGCTCTTATTTTAATGTTCATATTTCCATGGATACCTCTTGGGTTTGACTCTCAGTCCTTTTTTTTTTCCAGTTGTGAGTGAGTTCCACAACGAGAGTCTTCAGGGTTGTGCACTTAGAGAAAGTGTTTATCAAGAGTCCAAAAATTCCACAAAAGAGCCCTCATGCCGTTTACAATTGTACTGTGTGGGACTGACCTGAGCCCTTAGAGATTTATCAAGAACATTCTTCACAAGTCTGTTATTTTTGTTGTTCTGAACTTTGGGATTAGATGTAACCCATAGTCACTGCTGCAGTACACTTAATACCACTGACTAGCTGTCCATAAAGCTGCACATAGGACATCACTTCTTACATTTGGAGTCTTTAACACTCTAATGGTGGGGCTTTTAAAAAAAATTGAACAATAAAAATCAGGACAAACCAGCACTAAAACCCATCTGCAGCTCGTTTATATTTGAATTGTGGGAGCTGTTGCTATCCGCTCATCGTATCCCGTACCTTAGCCAAGTGTCTTTAACCCTTCTTGATATAAAACATTTACTATATGCTGGGTTTAAACCTGTAGCTGCTGTAATGGAGGCTCGGAGATTTTAATTTCTGCCCGAAGATGTCGAGTCAGAGGAAAGGGAGGTTAAAATGACCCAGCTCTCAGTCATATCACGACCACAGAGAGGAGAAGCTGTAGAATAGCTTGACCTGACCCATTATCTGTGAGCAAAGTAAAGCTGGAGAAAACGCCTGTGCAAATGCCATGGTAACCGTCTTGTGCAACCTCCTTTGAAACAACATCACATAACAGTGATCCATAAGATAAGCCAGGATAAGGGCCATCCTGTCTCGCGCGCTCCGAGACGAATATCACGGCAAAACCCATTAAAATATGCACTAAGTTAATGCGTCTTGTTATTAGTGACACAAGCAAAAACCCAGTAAAAAGGGACACGTGACCTTTCCTGAAACACAAAGATCCACCTTTTAAATTCCTCGCACGTGATCCATTAAGCAGCTGTAATATTTGATGTATTTTTATTTTATTTATTTGTTTTTGCAGTGGTGTACAAACTCCAGCTGGCATTGAAATATGACATCTTTAAAAATATTATAATAAATATTCCTCTGATGGTTATTATGGAGCTGTGGGCTGTGTTGACATGAATGAGACGCATTTGACACGATACTTTTTATTAGGGCGGCATCCCATTTTGCTGTTATTTAAATGTCAGCATCTACATTTTTAGATGGGGATTTGATATCTGCTTTATGACACTGGCGAGCGCTAGTCTCATCGGCTGAAGGACACCGACGACAAGTGTGAAATACAGCAGAACTGCAGGAACTGTAGATAACCACTTGCTTTCTGCCACTGCTGCAGGATTGAACTGTTGCTCGGTGTAAAGTACACAAGAGTGTGTGATTCATGTCAGCTGGTGCTTGGCAGTTCAATCACTGCTTTACAGGAGCCCAACAAATAAAGGTGAAGTCATAATTTGGGAAGTCAGTGAAAACTGATGCGGTGATTAAGAAGTCGTTGTGTGTCCACTGTCCTTTTTGTCTCTATCACCAAATCAATATTTAAAGCTAAGCACAATGTGAGAACGTGGCCAATAGAAAGATGCTAGGTAATGTAATACGATCTCATTTTAAAATACAGAACAGCAATCATCAAACTCTGACCGGCGCTGAACGGCATACCGAATACTAGCGATGTTTAAAAATGTTTTTCAAAATTCGGACAAAAGCTGCAGACGTTCTGCATTCATTGATGAAAAATATGAACCCCTGGGTGTGGATTTGATAAAAAGAGCAAGCTTTGAAGCATCACTTTAAGTGGCGAGCTTTAATGTGAAAATTGGAACTTTTTCAAATTTTGTCTTCTTTTGAATCTTGGTCAAGGCAGCACGGTGGCACGGTGGTTAGCACTGTTGCCGCACAGCAAGAAGGTCCTGAGTTCAATTCCACCATCAGGCTGGGGTCTTTCTGTGTGGAGTTTGCATGTTCTCCCCGTGTTTGCGTGGGTGTCCTCCGGGTACTCCGGCTTCCTCCCACCGTCCAAAGACATGCAGCTTGTGGGGATAGGTTAATTGGATAATCCAAATTACCACTAGGTGTGAATGTGCGAGTGAATGTGAGTGTGAATGGTTGTCTGTCCCTGTGTGTTGGCCCTG